CCCTCCCCCACCACCCACAGGCGGCGTGGGCACTCCTGCGGCTGCTGGTGGCGGCGGCGGCGGCGGTGGTGGTGCAGGCGGAAGCGGTCGTGCTACGGCGCAGCGCCCACATGACGACCAGCCAGGGGGGAGTTGGCCAGGGGGCTGGACAATGAAATCAATTGAAAATCAAAAAGAGGAGAAGAGAGAAAAGGACCGTGGCATTGGAAGCAACACCAACAACAACAACGACAATAAACCCAGCAGGGGTGTTCACAGCGTGAAAGACCGAGCGTGAAAGCGAAAGCGAAAGCAAACACCAACGAAGAAGAAGGTCAGGCCTGAAAGTGTTCGCAGTGTTGGGGGGGCATGCCCTCGCGTGAAGAGCGAGATGGGCCGATCAGAGGGGGTAGCGCTCGGTGATGAAGGCGCGCAGCTTGGCGTAGGCGTCCTCCAGGCTTTCGTTGATGAGGACATAGTCCCATAAGCCCTCCTGGTCTCTGTAGGCCATCTCCTTCTTCGCCGTCTCCAGCCTGACCACCCACCACGAGACCACGATCAGCAAGGTCAACGACCAACGACACAACGACTCAACGCATAACGACACGTGTGTGTATGTGTCGTGTGTGTGTGTGTGTGTGTGTGTGGCTGGGACTGGATGAGTAGGGCACGCACCTCTGCTGCATGGCGTCCTCTTCGGTGTCGCCGCGGCCGCGAAGGCGCCGCTCGAGCTCCTCCATGGAGGGCGGGCTGATGAAGACGTAGTAGGGGTTGAGGTCGGTCTTCTTCACCAGCAGCACCCCCTGCAGGTCGATGTCCAGCAGACACACCTGCGCTCCGCCCCCGCCATCCGCACGTGAGACCCCGCCTGGCGGGTGCGCGCGCCCACGACGACGCCACACATTTACGGGAGGGACCTTGCCAGAGTCGACGACGTCCTGGACGGCCTTGATGCTGGTGCCGTACATGTTGCCCGAGTACACGGCGTTCTCGATGAATTTGCCCTCGGCGATCTCCTTCTCCATCGCCTCGCTGGTGCAGCCCACACCACGTCACACCGTGCACCCATGCGATGACCACACACGACGCACACGACACACGCACACGACACACACACACACACGGCACAGACATGTACGGGGGGGGTCAGCTCTCCGAAGGGTGGCCACGCGGCAGGATGTCCACTCGAGGAGCAACAGGTGCGGTCCTTTTATGGCGTATGTGTGGAGGGGGACACGAACCGCTCCACAAAGTGGTAGTTTACGCCATCGACTTCGCTGGGTCTGATCTTGCGGGTTGTGTGCGACACCGAGAACCCTTGTTCGGGGACCCCATCAAGTCGTGATACCCATAGCCACAGCGCGGGAATGGGTAAGAAAAAAGAATCGCCGATTTCAGGCCTGGAAAGGGGATTTGGGGGGAGTACCAAATGCTGAGGGGAATTCGGTCATGAGCTTCTTGATGAGAGTCGACTTACCAGCCCCCGAAGGACCGGCGAACACGATGGGGCGAACACGAGCCAGCATGAAGAGGCGAACAAACCAAAAGGGAAAATGAATTTTTATCAATTTCTTTTGTTCTTTGCAAAGTGGTGAAATTTCATAGTTGTTTAAATCACCTGCTCATTGGTTTATTGTAACTCCGTTACCGTTAAATTAAAATCGCTCGGAGTGGAAACGGTTTGTGACTTTTTGTGCCGTGTCATGGTTTGTGCCCATTCGCTTGCGGCCAAGAGCTTTTCCCTTCAATACTGAGACCGGCCAACCGGTAATCGTACCGGGTAATTTAAACCGCCTACCAGCAATCGAAGCGGTCGGGAATGCGACGGAGAAGGATCAGACCCACGCGCCTCGCCGTAGCACACCACGCAGCTCCGGCAGCAACATCACGCGTTCAAAGCCACACACGCGCGCTAGCCGAACATACCCCAACGCGCGCGCGCACACAAACACACAGTGCCATCATGAGCGTCAGCATCCAGAAGCAGCGAGGAGCCGTCACCTTCAAGGCCGACAAGGGCCTCAACCCGGAAGCCCTGCAGAAGGTACCTCCACATGGTGGCCACCTGCACGAAGATGAGCAACTCCCGACGCACCACCACCACGGGCGGGTGTTGGCGTATATCTCTCTCTCCATTATTTTTTTAATATATAGATATATTATAATTGTTATAGCAGCAGCAGCAGCAGCAGTAGTAGTATTATCGTCCGCGTGTACTGACTCGTGGGTCGTGCTGCTGCTGCTGCTGCTGCTGCGTGGCCATCGACGTGCCAGACGTTCGAGCAGTTCGGGTCGGTGGGTCGCGTGCTCGTGGAGACCAAGGCCACGTCCGTGGCCTGGGAGCGCAAGGCGCCCGTGCAGTTCCCCGGCACCTACCCCGAGGTGGCCGTCGAAATCGGTACCCGCCGCCGCCACCACCCTGCCGCTGCTGCCGTTGTCTGTTGTCTGTTGTCTGTTGATCCAGTGGTGGTGGTGTGCACCCTGTTGTCGTTTTCATAATCAACTTCTTGGTACTCACGCTGTGCACCACGGTGTGTTTTTTTTTTTTTTCGACACCCTTTGCGGTGGCGTTGGTTGGGCCACGACCGCAGCCGGCAATCTGCCGGTGGAGGTGGCCGTCATCGGGTCGTTCGCCCCGGGCGAGGGTGAGCGCTTCTACCACCGCTCGGTGGCCCTCCAGGCACAGCACCTCACCTTCGTCGACGAGTACAACGAGGTGCACTACCCCCCTCCCCCCCGTAATCTCTTATTACTACCAACCAACCCCGCTATCTAAATTGGGCCTTATTCAAATCACCGGCGGTTGCTGACCCTGGGTTGGGTTGGGTTGGCTGCCTGGCGGGTGGGATTGGGGGGGGGAACACAGGCGAGCGCCAAGATCGCCAACGCGGACTTCAGCCGGGACGACCCGACCACCATCTACACCTTCTCCGTGGGCACCCAGGACCTCGTGTTCCACCGCCACGCCGGCCACCGAGCCATCACCGGCATCACCGGTACGCCCGTCCAGCAACCACCAGCAACCACCACCACCACCGCCGCCCCCGCGCGCCAGACGAGTTTCCAACACGCGCGCCTGCGGTGTGTGTGTCGTGTGTGTGTGTGTGTGGTGTGTGTCGTGTGTGTGTTGGCACACAGGGTCTGGTGGTGCCAACCTCAAGTTCAGCGCGGCGACGCCGGAGGAGGCGGCGAGCAACCCGGACGTGTTCGTGGAGAAGATGTTCATCATCGAGATCCCGGCGGACAGCATGTTCGTGCTGCGGTTCTCGGGCACGGTCTACCACCAGTTCGGGCCGAGCACGCCCGGCAAGGACGCCTTCTTCGCCATCTCCGTGCACACCAACGAGGCCGGCGGGCTCGAGGGCGAGCTGCTGGACATCGTCAAGGCCGGCAACGGCAGCATCCCGCTCCTCACCGAGCCCATCTCCGACGCCGTGGCCGACCTGCTCGACGGCAAGAAGCTCAAGAAGCTCAAGGTCAAGGACCGCCAGCGCCGCACCGTGTCGGCCACCAAGCGCTACATGACCCGCGTGCGCAACGGCGACGCGCCCGCCGAGGGAGCGGCGCCCCTGAGCGGCAACCACGCCGTGGAGCCCGAGGTGATCAGCCACGAGGTGGCCACCATCCTGCGCGAGCAGGTCGAGCAGCTGCGCGAGCGGATCGTCCACTTCAGCCTGCCCCGCCTGGCCACCATCTACAGCCCGCCCCAGGACACCTACATCATCGAATTCGACGGCGAGCAGTCTGACGACGCCGTCGACAAGGCCCTCGCCGCCGCCATCACCACCCCCGACGGCCTCTCCCTCACCCTCGAGCGGGCCTGTCGCATTGGCTACTCTTGTTGACACTTGTCTCTCTTCTTCCCTTCTCTTCTCTCTCCTCTCTCTTCTCTTCCCCTCTCCACGCACGCACGCTCACACCTGCCTTGAGCCGCACCCTGTGGATGTGTTGTTGTTGTTTTTTTTCTGTAATAAAAGTAAAGGGATATCACCTCGCGCCGCTTTCCTGGCCGCCGGCTCCTCCCTAGACCTTGAACGGGTAGTAGGGGGCCTTGTGGGAGTAGAACAGCCGCACCTGCACCAGCCAGCACCCCGCCACGCCCCCGAAGCACAGCGCGAACAGCGGCAGCCGCAGCCACGCACGCTCTGCACAACGTTGGTTCACATGATATGGGTTTGGGGGGGCTAGCGTAAGCAAGTGGCGCGCTGCGATGATGGGCGAGTGAGGGGACAGGGAGAGGATCAAAGAGGGGGGGGTACTGATGCGGGGGACCCAGGCGGTGAGGAGGATGAAGAGGAGGGCGGGGACCAGGTTGAGCACGACGATGACGATGCCCTCGGCTCCGTACTGGGAGCGCATCTCGCCCATGAAGACCTCCGGCTCGCCCGTATGGTGGTTGTGGCCGTACCACGGCACCCCGTGGATGGCGTTGTAGATCGTGCCCGAAAACGTGAACACGTACGCACACTGCACGGATCGTCGTCGTCGCACGCAGAACACAGCACACAACACGCACGACATGCGACACGACACGCGCCACATGTGAGCCGATGGCACGGGCTATAGCCCCGCTTGGGGTAGAAGGAGGAGATACCATGACGCCGAAGAAGTAGATGAGGTGGTGGTCGTAGTTGCGAATGACGGCGGGCAGCTTGTAGAGGATGGCGAGGCCCGTCAACACGGCGGCCGCAGTCTGTACGTTGGGGTTCTTCCACAGCGGCTGCGGAATGTGCACCTGCGTCACCCCCCCCCCAGCGCCGCACCACCAGCCACCAGCCACCAGCCACCAGCCACGACGGAGAAGCGCGTCAGCACATCGTCATCGCCATCGTGAGCCGCCGCCCGGCAGATCACGCGCCCGCCATTGGTTGATGAGGGCAGGAGGGGTACCGGGAGGCCGCTGTTCTGGGCGATCCACTCGGCCACCACCTCGGGATCGGTCAGGTGCTCCATCGACTCGATCCGGTACCTGTGCGTGCGTGCGGTCCAGCACCGGTGTTGAGAATGGAAAGGGGCGACACCCTTAGGTGCACACGCGCGGCCATGCATCGCGATGATGATGCCGGATCACGACGGGTGAAGCAGGGAAGGGCAGGAGAGAGGAGAGAGGCCAGGACGAGATGGGGCGGGGCGGGGGGGCGTACTGGACGGGGTTCTTCGCTTCGCCGTCGGCCTGGTGCGGCACGTACAGCAGCACGGGCGCGTGCGAAATGCCGATCTGGTTGGACCGCGATCACCGGAACGGGTTAGCCACACAGACACGCATAGGCGCGCGCACGCAACACGCAACACACGGCACGCCGCGCGCACGCACGACTGCATAGAGAGTGCATTGCCAAGTGGGCATTGACAAAGAGGAGCGCTACAAACACGTGAACATGAACAGAACAGAACAAAAGTGCACGGCGGCGGCGGCGGCGGCGGCGGGTGGGCGTACGTCTTTGAAGGACTGCTTGCCCTTCTCCGAGCTGAGTTCGGCGAAAAAGAGGTCCGGCACCCCCGGCACGCCCTGGACCGCCCGCTTCACAGCTCCGAGGGCCTTGCGCAGCATCCTGCCCTCGCGTGCGCGCGCGCGCGCGCCGTGTGAAGGGGGTGTATGCGGAGTGTGGCGGGCGTGCCCACGCGTTCGTCGAAGGTGAGAAGAGTCGGTTGGTGGGGCGGCGGCGGCGGCGGCGGCGGATGCAGCGTGTTCCTTGCGCGCGCGCGTGTGTGTGTCTGTGTAGGAGGAAGGCCAGGGGGTACCCGCAAGCGGGACTGTTGGGGACGGTGAGGAGGAGGACAAGGCGGTAGGGTCGCCTTTGGGCCGCTTCCAAGGGGTCGAAGACAAAGCGGCGGAAGGACTTGTCGGAGAACTGCAGGAGCTCGCTGGCGCCCAGCTTGGCCGTGTGGCCTCGCAACACCTCCACGTCTGGACCCGACCCAGCAGCCGCCTATGCGGGCGCACAGGACAGGGCACCACCACGGCACCACAACGAAAGAGAGGGAGTACGAAGTTTGTAAAAAAAAACCTGTATAGTTGAAAAGATGCGTGTGCTTACCGTCAAGAGGGGGGCACACACAAGAAGGAATCCAAGGGTGAGGACGCCGAAAAAGCAGGCTCGAGAGTCCGACATGGCAGCGCAAAGATGGGGCGCTGAAAAATAACTGTTTTATCGCATCATTTCTTTTGGCCTGAATGTTAAAAATTCAAGGAAGGCCACGCCGGCAAACCACCTTGCGTACGTGGTAACCAATCAAACGGGAAGGGCGGCCAATACGGTTGCTCTGTCGTCGGGCGTCAGGAAGACAGCATAAGGCTCCAAGGACACCGAAAAGTCTCTGCCATTGGCCCACGCTGACCAATAGCCGCCGAAAGCCAAGTGGCTTGAGGCAACGGAAACAAAAGAAATGGTTTTCACGCCCCTTTTGTGAAGAATTGGGAAAATGAAAGGCGAAAATATAAAGCGACCCAGCAGGAACACGAGAGCCAGTCTTGCGTAGCGCACCACAACCCACCAACAACCCCTCTACCACCACCCCCCTCCATCACACACCATGTCCTGGCAGACGTACGTCGACACCAACCTCGTGGGCACTGGCGCCGTGACTCAGGCCGCCATCCTCGGCCTCGACGGTAACACCTGGGCCACCTCTGCTGGCTTCGCCGTGACCCCCGCTCAGGGCCAGACCCTCGCCAGCGCCTTCAACAACGCCGACCCCATCCGCGCGTCTGGCTTCGATCTCGCTGGTGTCCACTACGTGACCCTCCGCGCTGACGACCGTTCCATCTACGGTAAGAAGGGCTCGGCTGGTGTCATCACCGTCAAGACCTCCAAGTCCATCCTCGTGGGCGTCTACAACGAGAAGATCCAGCCCGGTACCGCCGCCAATGTGGTGGAGAAGCTCGCTGACTACCTCATCGGTCAGGGCTTTTAAGCAAGCTCCCTACCGCCTTGCTCTCTGTACCCTCCTTCTCTCACGCCCGGGTGAGTCCTTTACACTTAGCTGCCTTCCCAACTCTGCGCTCCCTGGTTCTCTCCTCGATTTGTTGCGCTCTACTCGCGTACCAAGTCGAGGATCGAGGACTGAGAGTGCAGAGAAAGGCGGTGGCGGGCTAAAGGTCTTCCGCCCATGTTAAAATAAATACATACATAAGCTGTACACTCTTGCATTGGCAATGTCTCCCTCCATTCCCGTACGCCCATTCTCTCGGATCAGAGTAGGCGTGGTCACCAAGAAAATTATATTCTATTTATTTCTCTTCTGCCGTCACACAGTCGCCCTCCCATTCACGATGCATAGGAAGAGCTCCTTGATCGTTGCTCGGGTCAAGGTCTTCCCCCTTCCCGGCCATTCGTTGCCACGTCTTCTTTCATCTTCGGCAACATGTCCCAGCATGTGCGCTACGACGACGTCGTTGACATCACGCACATGTGGACGCGCCCACGTTAGACGCTTCGCCGCGGAGGCCGCTCGCCCCGGCAGCAAGGGAAGCAACACAACGAAGAAGGAAGAAGACGAGGAAGAGTGGGTTGATCCGCCCCACATCGCCGAGGCCAAGCAGCGATTGCGAACCTTCGAGAAGGAGGACCTCTACGCGGTGCTGGGCGTCGCTCCCGACGTGGACAGCGAGGGCATCATCACGGCCTACAACGAGCGTGGTGCTGCCTTGGCCTCGGCGCCCGACTTCAGCACCAATGCTGAGCTCAAGGCCCAACTGCAGCGACTCAAGCACGCTACGGAGGTTTGTCACCCACCACCACCACCACCACCACCACCACCCATCATGGCCCTCTTCTGGTTGTTGTACTGATGTTGCGCGTTGTTGTTAATCCGCGCAGGTGCTGCTCGACCCGCCACAGCGGCTCGAGTTTGATGCGCAGCGGCGTTCGGTGCACGAGGCGCTGCGGCGGCTGGAGGTGGACCCCAAGTGGGCGCGGGGCAAGGTGAGGATGGTCACCGTGGGCCGCACCTTCCTCTTCACGAAGCAGGTGTGGGCGTTCGGCGTGTTCCTGGCCATGATGGGCGTCTTCACCTACATCGCCATCGATTTCGCGCGGCGCAAGGAGGAGCAGCTCAAGCGCCACGACCGAGCCACGGTGACCCGCAAGGGCAGCCCCACGCAAGAGCAGCCCCACAGGCGCACGCCAGTCACACCCCCTCCCGCTGCCGCTGCCGCCACAACCACAATCCCCACACCAACAGAGAAAGATGCGTGAAGGAACCGCTTGCTCGTGTTCGTTTCATCACACAAAGCCTTTGCAGCGCCTCAGCGCAACGTTGGTCGCTACGTTCTGGCGTCGCCGTCTTCGTAACCATCGTCTTCGTCGTCGTTGTCGTCCTCCGCGGCGGCGGGATCGGGAGGAGGTGCCGCGGGCTGTTGTGTTGGCGGCGGAATGACCCGCATGCCCGTCTCGGGGTCCGTGAGCGGTGGATAGCTTCGTGTTGCCCCCACCTTGCGGAAGGCGAAGGCCAGATAGATGTCTGCGCCACGCCACGCCACGCGTCAGATTGTGGGGGGGGGGCAGTCGCCAGAACGAAGAAGAGGGGTACATACTTGCGGCCTCCCATTCGTCGGCCGAGATGGCTCCGTTTTCGTCGACGGCCTCCATGTGGAAGAGGAGCCGGTAGAGGGCCTGGTCGGTCTTGACCTTCTCGCAGAACAGCTCGTGGAAGGTCCACTTCTTGTACAGCTGCAGCCCCACCTTCGCTGCCAGCCTGCAGCCCCCACGTCGCACGAGCGAGCGAGAGAACAGAGTGAGCGCGCGGGTTGGGCCGATGACGGCGATGGGTGGGTGAGAAGGGGGAGCACCTCTCGAGGGTGGGGAAGTGGACGAGATATTCGGGCACGTCCTTCACCGCATCGATGAGAGAGAACGTATACTGGGCTCCGAACTCGGGGAACGTGCGCTACAACGCACGCACGCACGCACACGCACCAACCCCCCCCCGTAGAATATATACGTGAGTCACCAGGGCACGGATGACGTCGTGTTCAACTGCACCGCGCATGGGTGCGAGAGAGAGAGAGAGAGAGCGAGCGAGCGAAAGAGCGTGGGCGACCGGCCGCGGTACCTTTTGTGGGAAGGTGATGCTGTACACGCTGTTGCCAAAGGTGTTGCCCTCGCAATGCCGAATCTTCTTTCTGGGAGACCCACGTGGAACTCGAGTCAGTTGCGTGATGCGCCCCGAACACGACCACGCGAGCGCGCGTACACAATCCAGTTGGCGTTGGGGATGGTGCCGATGAACCACCCGCCGTCCTTCAGCCGGTCACTCACATTCTGCAGCATCCTGCAAGAAAGGGGACACGCACAAAGAGGGAGAGATGGTCAGGGAGTGGTGGTTGATGACACACACGGCACGTGGGGGCGGGCATGTGATGTGTACGAAAGCACCCGCTGTTCGGAGTCGAACGCGTAGTGGAGGGCGAACTGGCAGTTGACGAGATCGAACCACAAATCGCGATCGAGGTGATCGCTCAGCCTGGTCTGCGAGCACCCAGCCACGCAGGCAAGACGTCGCGCTCGTGTGTGAGGAGGAGGAGCGATGGTCGACCATGAGGAAGAAGAGGAGAGGACGTGCCTGGAAGCAATCGGTGCCGAGGAAGAGCGCGGGGAAGGCCGCATGTCGCGAGTTGCGGTACCGCTCCTCGGCCGCCTTCACCGACTCTTCAGCAATATCTGCCAAGCGCGTGCGTGTCACAGTTAAAAAAAAGGCAATGATAAATAAATAA